AAGCAGCCATCTAGATACAACGATGGGTCTCTCCTCATCCAGAGCGAAGAAGAATGAAGAAAGCCAAAGATTCATGGAAACATTTAGTCCTAGCAACTGGTATACCATGCAATCCTCAGCCTATATGACTGTGAGACCAGAAGAACTAGATGGTGCCCAGTTACTCCTGTCAACCACTCAGAGGGGAATCTTTGTAGGAGATCCTGGATAGAGAAGGAGAACAATGTGGAACAAAACTCAAAATCATTTGGAAAAAAAAGGGGGGCGGTCAGGTTTGCTGGTCTGATAGAGCCTGGTGGAACCACTGAGACAATGGCCCCTAGCTGCCCTTCAAGTCTGGAATTGATTCCATATCTGTGGCTTCCAGCCAAACAAAAGACAGGCATAGGAGTTGAGCATTTACCTGAGGTAGATACACTCCTTGGAGAGAACAATCATGGGAGAAAGAAGGGCTGCTTATGCACAGGGAGACAGCTCAGGGGGCAGGAGTGCATGGAGGGATGGGCACAGGGAAGAGGTAACTATGGGGAGGAAGTGGGAGGGGAACTGTTGCATTGTGGTAAACTGTGGTCAATGTCATGAGAGAAAAGTATATATGAACTGCTGTATGGAAAGTGAATTTGCTCTGTAAACTTTCACCCAAATAACAATAAAAATATTTTTAAAAAAAGATCTACCACCTCAGAAACCCAATGGGGATCACTGTGAGTTGGAATCAACTCAATGACAGTGAGTTTGTTTCTTTTGTGTGTGTGTGTGTGTGTGTGTCATAAAGATATTGGTAAAAATCTGCTAAACTCTTTCCTGAAGGTCCAGTCTACATTTATCTATTTATACTAATAAATGTCCTCTCTTCCTCCCATTCTTATGTTTGCTTTTGAATAACAGTAATTTATTTTTCTTTTTTATAGGAAATAACTGATTCTAATAAAAATACTCATACTTTCATGCTTTTCTGAATGTAATCTCAGACCCTAGCAGATCTGTGTTTTTGAAGTTCAAAAAGAAAAGAATTAACAGACTCAAATATTTAACAAAAGACATAGTTGTATCCTTTCTTTTTATTGAAAAGGAATATTTTCTATTCTAGCGCAAACAATGTATATTTTACACCATAAAGCAAGATATAATTTACATATTACATTTCTTATGAGATCTTTATACCCTAAATGTCATTCCCTCTTTTATTCCTTCATCCTTTTGGTTTGATTGAACCTTCTAAGTACCTAACAAATCAGCATCTTGTTTAGAGAAGAATTAGGGACACAGATCATTTGCATGTGCTTGTCTGTGTCTGTGTCTGTGATGGTGAGGAACAGTGAGGTGCCTTGAACTTTGTAGCCCTGAGGCCACCACTGACATCTGGCTTAGGAGCCAGAAGACTACTCCTCTAAATCACTACTCCTCCAAATACGGTATAAAAACTTGTATTATTTTTAAAACTAATAATAAATGGACAAAATAATAAATGGACTGAGTACTTGAACCACATGCATTCTTCTTGATCAAGTGCTTAGGTGATAGATGCTTGGGGTATTGGATCACCAGCAGTGGAAGTTCCCATGGTTAATCAGTACTGGTTACTCTATGTACGATGTTCCTCCTTAGCACTTGGCCAGGAATTGGCCAGTGTCAACTAGCATTCAGACTATGGATACAGGTTTTTCTGTTCTCCACTGAAAATGAGTGTCAGAATAAAAATTATAAATGACTTTCTTTCACATGACCTACTATTTCTCTACCTCCTCTCCTATGTTCTCCCTTCTCAGAAAAACCTTTCCATGTATGATTTCAGTTTCCTGCACTTTAACCAAAATCCTCTTTTTTGCAGTTCTCTCCAAGCTCCAAGTCCCACAAGTTCACTCATTTCTTGGATTGCACTCACTTCACAAATCAAAGAATGTTTCAGTCTATTAGTTTGGAATTTGATAATCCTCAGAGGCTAGTAGGACAAAAGAATGAGTTGAAGGACCCTTTAGAAAGCAGATAATAAGTGTTGTTTGGCCAGCCTGCATGAACCATTCAGTAAGAAATGTTTTCAAACTGGGTTGAAAGAAGGAAGCAGTTGATGAAAGCAAAATGCCCTAGATAGGCTTCCTTCTTGTTATTCTAAGAAGTACTTTTATAATATTTGGAATACATTTTCAGATTGGTGGCTGTTAGATTTAAAAAATATATACCATTTGTTCAATGTGAAATGCCAAGAGAAAAATAAGTTCGCACTGAAAATGCATCTTAAAGCCAAACTTCCTACCTAGTCATTCGTAGTACAAAGTTGGTATATTTGGCCAGAATCGATCTTTTTAATCATTAATAATTAAAATTTTTCACACCAAGCTGGTCAGATGAGACTATTAGTATGTGTGAATATATAGTTGCATGTGGATTAAATTACTCTTTGGTCAAATGATGTGATGTTTGAGAGATCTGCAAATATAAATGTATTTCTCATTTCCAAACACAAAGTTATAAGTATTTACAGCAAGGTAGCATTCCCTTGCTAGAAAACAAGGCTACCAGGTACCGCATCGTTCTGTTAATATTGTACACTTTTATAGTCCCTTCTCTCCCATGGCTACAAAGTGCTGGACATACAGGAAAGAAGGAAGGAGCAAATGAATAGAGCCTCACAACACCCCTGTGAGGTAGGTAAGTATTGTTAAACCTATTTTACAAACAGGTAAACTGAGGCACAGCATGGTAATGTGGTTTGGTCAAGTCCACCTGGCAAGTTTCAAAAGCCCAGCTGAGAACAAAGAGAAAGAAACAAAAGAAAAATCAGTCCTGGCTCCCAGCCCTAGACACTAAACTTTATTACAAAATGTTAAAAAACAAAAATAGCCCACAATGGGCTTTTAAAATTTTGGAATTTAGACAAACCTTTAAGAATTCCACTTAAACATGTGTCTTTCAATTTCCTGTTGAGTAGAGAAAAGGCAAATGGTTAAATGGCTTTTCCTCCTCAAGTGCAATTCCCATGATAGATCAGGAGGTATCATCATCCCACTGGCGCTCAGGCTCCAAACAAAAGGACAATTTTTTTATAGCCTCCAACAGTTTCTAATTCATTTAAAGCCGTAATGTGAAAATGAAAGCTGTTCTCAAAGAGCTGACCCATCAATCGCTTATGGCCTTAATGAGAATTTTGTGTAGAGAAAGATTCCAAATTAAAAAATCTTGTCACTGTGGAAATAAGGACAATGGTGATAATGTGAAATTTACTTTTTTTTTTTTTTTTTGGTGTTTGAGAAACTGTAAACTCAAGCTTGCAAGAATATCTTATATCTATATATATAATATATATAAATATATACAGTGTGTGTATATATATATAAGTGTGCATCTGACTACCCTTTACCCAAGGCACCAAAGGTAGGCAATGCCTTTCACAACCCAGTCTTTGTTTCCCTAAAGAAATGTTCTTGTCTCAAAGGAAAAATATTCTATCAAATAGCCTGTGAAAGCAAATCACTCATTGTAACTTATGATGGCTGATTGGATGGGGGTGAATGATGGTGGTAATGGTGATATTTTGATCTACAGCTTACAGCTTAAATCTATAGCTTATATTTAGAGCCTAGATCTATAGCCTGGAGTTTAGAATTAGCCAGACACAACCAATCACATTGGATCAAACAGGCCAGTGACCAGATGTTGTACACATTTTTTTTCCCCCGGAAGCTGATGCAAAAACTTTACCATGACCAATAGAGATGGAGACTATGAGAAAGACAACGTGTCATGTCTGGCACAGATCTTTCAGAAAGACTTTGGCTTTTCAAAATCTCCTACAGCTTGAATGCAGAGAACAGGGAAGAAAGACAGGGAAAGCCACTGAAGTTCAAATAGGTGAATGAGGAGACTAGGCACTTTTTTTGAATACAGACAGTCCCTGGGTTACAAATGAGATCTGTTCCTGTCATTAAGTTGAACTCATGAGTGAGTCAGAACAGGTGTATATTATTCTTATTTAGCTTTATTTTAGTGCAACGAAAAGCATGAAGCCTTTTCAATGATTTAAAAGCTGCTCGTGCAGCAAGTGAAGGTGACTGTGATGAAGAATTTGTGGCAGAGGGTTCAATTATTTCGAACAAAAACATCAGAACAAACTCACTGCCATTGAGTTGATTTTGATTCACAGAGACCCCTCCTTGGGTTTCCTAGGAGGTATCTCTACTGAAGTAGATTGCCCAGTCTTCTTTCCAAGGAGTGGCTGGTGGATTTGAACTGCCAGTCTTCTGGTTAGCAGTCAAATGCCTTAGGAACTACGCCACCAAACCAAAAACCAAATTCACTGCCGCTGAGTCAGATCTGACTCATAGCGAACCCTCCTTGGGTTCCCAAGGCAGTATCACTATGGAAGTAGATTGCCCAACCTTCTTTCTGAGGAGTGGCTGGTGGGTTTGAACCACCAGCCTTCTGGTTAGCAATCAAGTGCCTTAGGCAGTAGGCCACCAGAGCTCCTAATTATTTCAAAGTGAGGGGAAATTTACGTAACATTAAAGGGTAGGCATGAGTTGTATAAGTTGGATGTTCTGTTCATAATCCAGGGACTTAACTGTATATATATACCATATATATATATATGTGTGTGTGTGTGTATATATATATATATATATATGATTTCTTTGGTTGCTGTAGATTTTTTTTTAATCTCGGGCAACCAAGGGGGTAGGTGGGCTGGACCTAACTGAAGAAGCTTAGAGTATATTAAACAAAAGCATGAATGGAAGGAAGACAAAATAAACACACACAGAAACAAGTGGTGGTGGTATCCCAGAGGGAAGAGGAACATTTGTTAACTAATTTTCATTCTGCTCCTCTCCTGCTTTTTTCTGCCATGGTCCCAATATTTTAGTTCTGTTTGATTGTTTTTATTTTTTCCCAGCAGATGAAGAAATGACAGAGCAGGATAGGTGTCTTAAGATTTTTGATTTCTTCTTAGGCCTGTTTTTTTGTTTTGTTTTGTTTTGATTTGGTTTTTGGTTTTTTTTGTTTGGTTTTTTTTTTTTTTTTTTTTTTTTTTTCCTCAGTTGACTGTTGGCACCTGGTTCCTCTGTAAACTATATTCCTTGGCCTTCAGTCTCAGGTTGGCAATGCTGTTGGCCATGTTGATACCCTGTGCAGGGCTATTGTTGGCACATGTGGCAGAATAAGTAGCCATGGCGCTGTAGGGACAAAGGAGAGAGCAGGGAGAATAACAGGCATTAGTTTCACAAAGCTGAAGTCTGTGGCCCAGGATGGAGGTACTGTCAGGATGGGGGCAGGCAGGGGCAGGTGGGTGGGACTGAATGTTTCTTTCTCTTTGTTCCCTTTTGGACCCAGTGTTCCATTAATCTAAGGCACTCGGAGAAGTGTAGCAGTGTTGCAGAGGGCTGAAGAAAATGATTGGGGAAGGAACAAGGAGAGGGAAAGGTATTTGCTGTGCTTTATATAGTGAGTAATGATTTATTTCTGGGCTGAGAGAAGAAAGTTGCTTATGTTGAATGGCAGGTGTTTCATCAGCTGACCAATTAAGTTTAATCTCTCTTCCTGCCTATATCACCAGCTTGCGGGAGCAGTGAAGAAGAGAAGTAGGCATTTGAAAATAAACTAAAGAGAATTTTGCCTTTCTCACCCTTACTAATCATTTCTAGGTAGCTGGCCTTAATTCTAATACACGTGAAAGAATCAATAAATAACATATTAAATAGTGTGCTTGGAGAATCAGTTAAACAACCCAAGATAACTTCTCTGAAATTCTTGATTCAGTTGGTTGATAGTTCTGAGTATTACCAAGTCAAGTTATTGCCATCCCAATGACGTGACTCTGTAACCTCTTTTCAAAAGTGTATCTCGTACTGCCTTTTAAGTGAGTTATTTTAAATCTCCTAGATAAACCATCAAAGGCTACAGTTTCAGGATTCCTGGTCTCAGAAGTAATTGTTTCTCACCATCCTTATTGCTTAGAAAAAGTTAGAGTTGTTTTTCATTGCCAGAGATTGTAATTAAGACGTAGGAACACTCCTGGCCAGAAATTTGTAATTGGTGGTTTTCTGTTAATTGCATCCATGTATTTATTTCAAATGAAAAAGAAATATATTTTCTTATAGATTTGGATGCAAATTATCCATTACTTTATACTAAGCAGTTAAAAAGGGATTCATTTTCATAAAATGAAAATGTTTCTAATTGTTTCTAAGCTTAGCAAAATCCTTTTCAATTGCAGGGCTGGAATGAAGTAGATTTGTAAATGGAATAACATGTGCTTCTCTGTTGTTGCCTGCATTCCAATGGAATTTTGTCAGCCACACAGGAGTTTGTGGTTCAGAGGATCAAGTGACAAGACCAGGAAAAGAGAAAATTAAAGCTACTCCACAAATATAGAGAATATATCGTTAATACTTATTTGGAACACCACATAGTCAAGACTCATGGTCAAGACTCAAAACAGTCCATTTCTTCTCAGTTACTAGCAATTAACATAAAAAAGTTATGTTAAAGAAATAGTCCCATATCACTAGATCTTCCCAGAAAATACATTCAAAATCCTCATAACACTGATACGTGTGTGTGTGAATGTGTGTGTGTGTGTGTGTGTGCATGTGTATGTGTTATAAAGGGAGAAGCCTCAGAAGGGTTGCAAAAAGAATCCTCATTTCTTCTATTTCATCTGTGCATGCTTTCTCATTCCTTATTTCTAGGCATATGATCTTAACTCTCTAGACAAGGTAAGTTCTCCTATAACACCTTGTACTTTTCATTTCAGCACTTGTTTCGATTTTAATTAATTAATTTTTTAATGTCTATCACTTTCCTCCTCGGAAGGAAAGTTGGGCAATCCTACTTCCGTAGTGATACTGCCTCGGAAACCCAAGGAGGGGTCGCTATGAGTCGGGGCCAACTCGACGGCACATAACAACAACACAACAACAACATCACTTTCCTCAACTATGAGCTCCACAAATCAGGGACTATATCTGCCTTGTTCACCACTATATCCTCAGGCAAATCTAACATCATACCTGGCATATATTTGATGTCCAATAAATAAGTGAGAAATGTCTAGATAGGCTATGATTAAGGTGATTCCAGCTCAGTATCAACAATCTCTTCCATTCCACTCTGAGTAATGATTTCTAAAAACATTTACCAATGTGCTTTTATTCTTAGGAGTAATGCTTACTATTAAATTTGCTGTTTTATAGAAAGAGCAAAATCAGGAAGGAATTGACAAAAGCAGAGGCCAATGATTACAGGTTCTTGGAACTACCAAAAATATCTTCTCACAATAAAAGATACAAATATTGGCACAGGTTAGACTTATAGAATAGACTATCACTTCCACCATGCTCTACCAAAGGACAGAAGCAGAATAGTCCCCAGTTAAGATAGGTTTCAATTAGGAATGAAATAAATGACTAGAGCAACAGATTAAGACAGACCATGTTTTTTGTTTTTCCACAATGTACCAAGAAATGTCATTTATTTTCAAATCTGTGTATATATCATTTAATTCCTATATGAAATACATACTTCCATTTAAGACCTTGCAAGGAATGTATACAAATTCATAAAAATCTATACTCATGAAACTTCTAGGACTTCTAGGTCCCCTTTCTCTCAAAGCTCTAAGTAGCTAAGAAAAGAGGCAACTGGATTTGGGAAATGTATCTAGTCATGGATTATTTGAAATCAGTTAAATCAACCTTTCTTAACCAGATTTCTGTGAGAACTAAGTACATGATTAGTACCACTTAAAATAAATACACAGGAGAGGCTGGTGAAACCCCGGAAACCATGGCCCCTTTACCCTTTAGGCCAGAATTGGAAAACACTACAGTGGCTTCTAGCCAAACAATTGACAGGCATGTGAGGTGAACATTTACACCAGGTACACTCCATAGATCAATCATGGGAGAACAGAAGGGCAGAATTTTGCACAAGGAGATAGCTCAGGGGGCAGGGATGCACAGGAAAAAAGGACACAAGGAAGACATAACAATAAGGAGAAAGTGGGAAGAGAGCTGTTACATTGTGGGGATTGCAGTCAAAGTCATGAAACAAAATGTGTATGAACTGCTGTACGGAAAATGAATTTGCTCTGTAAACTTTCACCCAAATCACAATAAAATATAAATTAATTAATTAAAATACATAGGAAAGAAGCTAGAAATGCAAGTGATCTGTACTTGTGAAGTACTGAGAATAAAACTGAATGGTTCAGAAAACTTCATGTGAAAGCATAAAATGAAAAATTCTCTGATGGTAAATTACAGATTGTCATGGAGTGTTGTGCTTTTAAGTACTTGGCCTAATTTTTTAAGGGATATTTTTTCTGTCCTTTGAGATTCTAGCCAAAGTCCACCACCCACCGGGATTCTAAATTCCTTCTTTAACATTAAGGGTTCAGTTTATTTTCTTAGTAGGCAAGGGAATCAGAATCTTGGACGATCATTTTAGTTTATTGAAGATGCCGTTACGGTCTTCTCAAAATATCTGCTATAGCAGTGGTTTCAATTTTATACAACCATTTTTGTTATAGTTACTTCATAGTCTACTAACGTTATCATCTGATATTTTAGACTGAGGATTTAGCATGGAAACTCATTTCTTGGAAATATTTATGTTCTTTTCATAATGCAGGCAAGATAGTAATATCCAAATGAGATGAATGTTGGTCCCCTTTCTATTTCAAAACCAAATTAATGAAAATTGGAATTATATTTTGAGTAGGAGACTGGATAGTTTCTAGAGTGAAGAGCAACACCTTTGCCTGCTTGTTGCTGTTATAAGGACACTATTGTATTAATGAGGCTGTGACAATGCCCTATGGGTAGCACTCAGATTAGTGAGGTGTAAGGATACCAAAGCAATTGAGGTGAACAAATGAGTTTTGCAATTCCCTGGGAGCTCCATAAGTGATAGCATTTTTACTTGATAAATGTTTAGAAAAGTTTTAAACTTTCCAAAATTGATGTAACTTGTTCCAGCTTTACATACTCATAAAAGTAGGATGAAAAAAAAGAGAAAGTTTTCTGTCACAGACTCTTAACAAATATTTAGAACATATGACACTACAAGTAGGGACTCTAGTGATATGTTGTGAACATACTAAAGAATTACAAGTCTGTCTTCCCTCCAATACTGTGACATGAGTCTAGATTCTCAACTTGGGCTAAAAGTGCTGTCTAGGCAAACAGCGAGCAGCCTTTTGATACAGCAGTGACAGGACTTGTTAGAGGTCATAAAGGACAGAAGTAATGAGTGGAGAGTGTAAAAGTAGCTTAGTCATGCTTTAAAAATGGCATTAGAAATAAGATGGACAGGACCTTCTCCCTGAAGTGACAACAGATGCAAAAGGGCCTTGAGTAGCTGCCAATCTGAGAATGTTCCCGACCACCTGTTCTCCATGTCATGGAAACTACTAAAGCTCAGTTTTCAGAAAAGAAAGAGAGCCCTGAAATGTTTTCTCACGAGACAGAAGATGAAGAGAGCAAGTAGCTATTCACCTCGTTTTATAGGGCCATGCAAGCCATGTAAAATGAACACTCCTTCCTGTACAGGATTAAATTTACTGGAATAAAAAGGTGAGATTGAGGTTAAGTGATCTGTATACATTAAGCACATGATAACCACCAACAGCCAGCTTAACAACACCCTGAGATCTCACTCGTTGGTCTCACATTCTTAATGAAAACCATCTATTTCTCCAAGCAATGCAGACACTGGCATGATCCAAGTCCTAAGACTATTTACTGGTTTTAGCTAACATAACTTTTCTAGTTAGTTTCTAAGAACATAAAGTTGTTACCAAGAATCTAAATTGCCACATAAAGTGCGCTGAGGAAACAGCGATGAAAAAGAAGTATTTGTATCCCATCTGCTGACTCAGCAAGTCTGCCCTGGGACTTGCACAGGGATGACACATTTAAGCAAGCTTGACATTTTTCAATCTCCATATTTGGAGATTCCTAGCAGATGTAGCTCAGCCAGAGATGGGACCATGCTAACCACTAGTGGAGTCAGAGTTCTAACTGTTTGCACTGGAGACAGGTAATTTTTTGTCATTTCAACCTGCCCTAAAAATTTGTCTATCATGAGGAAGACTGTATTAAAATGACTGCCAAACACCAAGGAAGTATGGTATGATTTTAATGCCAGGAAACATAGGGACATCTGCCCATCT